TCTGTTCCGGGGAATAATCCCACACGATTCTGTCAGTGACTACATAGCTGAGATGAGTCAAAAATCTGAAATATCAGCTGTGATCTCATCGCTCAGGCGGGAGCATCGCGGACCTCAAACTAGAGCGCCCGGCACTCGCTAGAGCTCTGTGGCCCTTCTCGGCCCCGTGGAGATTAAAGGGCCCGTCTAGTAAAAAAAATGCTGTTCCTGGATTCTGGTATAAAGCCGCTCCGGGTGGTTTCTCTGTTCTCTGTATGTCCACGGTGGTGAGGAATAATCAGAAAGCGACTTTACTGCTATGCTGTGAATAGCTAAAATGGCACACGCAGCTGAATGAGCTATAGGAGGGAGGAAGAGGAGTTGTTGGAGGGAAGAGGAGGAGTTATAGGAGGGAAGAGGAGTTATAGGAGGAAGGAGGTGGAGTTAGAGGAGGGAGGAGGAGTTATAGGAGGGGAAAAGAGTTATAGGAGGGAGGAGGAGTTATAGGAGGGAGGAGGAGTTATATGAGGGTAGAGGAAGAGTTATAGGAGGGAGGAGGAGTTATAGGAGGGAGGAGGAGTTATAGGAGAGTAGAAGAGCCATAGGAGAGAAGCAGAGTTATTGGAGGGAGGAGGAGGGGTATTGGGAGGGAAGGAGGAGGGATTATAGGAGAGAGGAGAAGTTATAGGAGAGAGGAGGGGTTATAGGAGGGAGGAGGAGTTATAGGAGGGAGGAGGAGTTATAGGAGAGTAGAAGAGCCATAGGAGAGAAGCAGAGTTATTGGATGGAGGAGGAGGGATATTGGGAGGGAAGGAGGAGGGATTATAGGAGAGAGGAGGGGTTATAGGAGGGAGGAGGAGTTATAGGAGGGGGGAGGAGTTATAGGAGGGGGAGGAGTTAAAGGAGAGTAGAAGAGCCATAGGAGAGAAGCAGAGTAATTGGAGGGAGGAGGAGGGGTATTGGGAGGGAAGGAGGAGGGATTATAGGAGAGAGGAGGGGTTATAGGAGGGAGGAGGAGTTATAGGAGGGAGGAGGAGTTATAGGAGGGAGGAGGAGTTATAGGAGGGAGGAGGAGTTATAGGAGGGAGGAGGAGTTATAGGAGGGAGGAGGAGTTATAGGAGGGAGGAGGAGTTATAGGAGGGAGGAGGAGTTATAGGAGGGAGGAGGAGTTATAGGAGGGAGGAGGAGTTATAGGAGGGAGGAGGAGTTATAGGAGGGAGGAGGAGTTATAGGAGGGAGGAGGAGTTATAGGAGGGAGGAGGAGTTATAGGAGGGAGGAGGAGTTATAGGAGGGAGGAGGAGTTATAGGAGGGAGGAGGAGTTATAGGAGGGAGGAGGAGTTATAGGAGGGAGGAGGAGTTATAGGAGGGAGGAGGAGTTATAGGAGGGAGGAGGAGTTATAGGAGGGAGGAGGAGTTATAGGAGGGAGGAGGAGTTATAGGAGGGAGGAGGAGTTATAGGAGGGAGGAGGAGTTATAGGAGGGAGGAGGAGTTATAGGAGGGAGGAGGAGTTATAGGAGGGAGGAGGAGTTATAGGAGGGAGGAGGAGTTATAGGAGGGAGGAGGAGTTATAGGAGGGAGGAGGAGTTATAGGAGGGAGGAGGAGTTATAGGAGGGAGGAGGAGTTATAGGAGGGAGGAGGAGTTATAGGAGGGAGGAGGAGTTATAGGAGGGAGGAGGAGTTATAGGAGGGAGGAGGAGTTATAGGAGGGAGGAGGAGTTATAGGAGGGAGGAGGAGTTATAGGAGGGAGGAGGAGTTATAGGAGGGAGGAGGAGTTATAGGAGGGAGGAGGAGTTATAGGAGGGAGGAGGAGTTATAGGAGGGAGGAGGAGTTATAGGAGGGAGGAGGAGTTATAGGAGGGAGGAGGAGTTATAGGAGGGAGGAGGAGTTATAGGAGGGAGGAGGAGTTATAGGAGGGAGGAGGAGTTATAGGAGGGAGGAGGAGTTATAGGAGGGAGGAGGAGTTATAGGAGGGAGGAGGAGTTATAGGAGGGAGGAGGAGTTATAGGAGGGAGGAGGAGTTATAGGAGGGAGGAGGAGTTATAGGAGAGTAGAAGAGCCATAGGAGAGAAGCAGAGTAATTGGAGGGAGGAGGAGGGATTATAGGAGGGAGGAGAAGTTATAAGAGAGAGTAGGGGTTGTAGGAGGGAGGAGGAGTTATAGGAGGGAGGAGGAGTTATAGGAGAGTAGAAGAGCCATAGGAGAGAAGAAGAGTTATAGGAGAGAGGAGGAGTTATGGGGGGAAGAGTTTTCGGACGGAGGAGGAGGAGTTATAGGAGGGAAGAGGACTTATGGGTGGAAGGAAGAGTTTTTAGGAGGGAAGAGGAGTCATAGGAGGAGGAGTTATAGGAGGGTAGAGGAAGAGTTATAGGAGGGAATAGGAGGAGTTATAGGGGGAGGAGGGATTAAAGGAGGGAAGAGGAGGAGTTATAGGAGGAAGGAGGAGTTATAGGAGAAAATAAGAGTTATGGGAGGAGTTATAGGAGGGAGGAGGAGTTATAGGAGAAAAGAAGGTGAAGAGGTGTTAAAGGGGGGAGGAGTTATAGGGAGAGGAAGAGGAGTTTTAGTAGGGAAGAGGAGTTATAGGCCATGGACTGGCCAATCACATTTTTCAGGCCTGCGTTGAAGCTGGCGATAGCCGAGGCGCGTCTGTGCGATTCGCGTTCTTCCAACGTGCGGGAAATGAATTGCTCCGGCAGCCGCTGGGGAATTCCAGGGAGATATCCCGGACGTGACTCACTCATCCGCCATTAGATTTTCCAGCAGCAAATTGGTCATTTGTGAATTGATTCAATTGTCTCTGTCGGCAAATTTCCTCTCCAGCGCTCTGAAATCTGAGCCAACACCTTATTGGCCGCACAGGATATTTAAAGCAGACTGGTCCGGCCGTTTATGGTTGCGCTGCGATTGGGGAGATTGGGGAGAGGTCTACCTCCTGAGGCGGGGTGAGGGGGTGGAGTGCCATGGAGACTCCTCTGCCATTGGCTTATATACATGATGAGTGATGGCAATTGGACAGGATCTTCAGATCAGTTAAGTCCCGCCCCCAAAGAACAGTCTGCCTGTGATATATAGCCATGAGACCCTCCAGATCCGACTGCAAACAGCCAGGCCGGGGGACTCTTGACTCGGCAATGACGGGTTTATACCGCGAGTCGCACCATAATCGCCCCTCCACCAAACTTTACACTTGGCACAATGCAGTCAGGCAAGTACCGTTCTCCTGGCAACCTCCAAACCCAGACACGCCCATCGGATTGCCAGACAGAGAAGCATGATTGGTCACTCCAGAGAACACGCCTCCACTTCTCTAGAGTCCGGTGGCGGCGTGCGTTACACCGCGGCATTCCACGCTTTGCATTGCACTCGGTGATGTCAGGCTTGGATGCAGCTGCTCGGCCATGGAGACCCATTCCATGAAGCTCTCTACGCACTGTTGTTGCGCCAATCTGAAGGCCGCATGGAGTTTGGAGGTCTGTAGCTATTGACTCTGCAGACAGATGGCGACTTCTGCGCACTGAGCGCTTCAGCATGCGCTGACCCCGCTCTGTCATGTGACGTGGCCGACCACTTCCTGGCTGAGTTGCTGTTGTTCCCGGTTGCTTCCACTTTGTTATAATCCCAGTAACAGGCGACCGCCGCGGAATATTTAGTAGCCGGGAAATGTCACGGACGGACTTATTGCGCAGGTGACAACCTATCACGGCACCACGCTTGTAGTCACTGAGCTCCTGAGAGCGACCCGTCTAATGTCTGTAGAAGCGTCTGCATGCCGAGGTGCCTCATCCTATACGCCGGGGGCCATGGAGGGGATTGGAACACCTAAATCCAATGATTGGGAAGGGGGAGGGGCCCAATACTTTTGGCAATATGGTGTACGTCAATGTGATCCGGTTCGTTTTATAAACCTGTGCTTGTACTGATTGTGTGTAACGATATATTGGAGGCCCAGCATTGGGGTCACCAGTCCTCCGGCCCCATCCATTCAGGCGTCGCCCCTTGTGAACCTCGTCGGGTGCCCTTTAAGCAGCCTTGCGGTTCCTCACGATATGACCCGTTGTTGGCAGGAGGCCCGTCTGAGGCGAGCAGCTGAAAAAAAACGATATACTCCAAATCAATATTGTGTGTTGGATCTGGTAAGACGTAACACTGGCTTCGAAAGGTCTGGAGTATCACATCCCGACCGCAATAACAGACATCAATACACTTTAATACGTCTCATCGTCGGGCCCGGCTGCTCTCGGGTTTCACTCGCGGGTCGTCTTCCCGCCAAAAACGTTTTCCAGAAAGCCAAAATACGTCTCATTTAAATGGTTCCTGATTGATAATCTTCTCCGTGGCTTTTACTGTCACTGAATCGTACACATCGAAACGTTTTCCTTTCACGGGCCACCCGTCTGACCAGGTCTCAGAGGACTTCAGTTCAAATGGTCCACAACGCATGGACGCTGTAGCTCGCTATATACTGAGCTTTGGGTCACTGGAGGAACGCTAGTCTGTGTCCTCCCGTTACCCTTAGGAGAACTATGAGGAAAAACACTGACCCCATAGTTCTCCTTTAAGGATTGTAGAAAACCGGCCAATGGTTTTGGGACGGTCACAAACCTAGAAGCAGTGATATCCTCAGAGGGGGGCGGCAGACTAGGGTCTGGTCAGAATGAGGTCCTATGATACCTTTGGAGTGAAGAATGGTGAAGAAGAAATGAACGGTTCGGGAGGATCAAGGTCAGGTGACATGTTCACGGAGGAGGCCGATCCATGCGTTCCTGATTGATAATCTTCTCCGTGGCTTTTACTGTCACTGAATCGTACACATCGAAACGTTTTCCTTTCACGGGCCACCCGTCTGACCAGATCTCAGAGGACTTCATTTCTAATGGTCCACAACGCATGGATCGGCCTCCTCCGTGAACATGTCACCTGACCTTGATCCTCCCGAACCGTTCATTTCTTCTTCACCATTCTTCACTCCAAAGGTATCATAGGACCTCATTCTGACCAGACCCTAGTCTGCCGCCCCCCTCTGAGGATATCACTGCTTCTAGGTTTGTGACCGTCCCAAAACCATTGGCCGGTTTTCTACAATCCTTAAAGGAGAACTATGGGGTCAGGGCTTTTCTCCCGGAGAACACCCTCTAACCCTGTTTGTTACTTATCGGAGTTTTCCATCTGTGTCTCTTGGCTGGGAGTGGAGTCCGGACTGTCCTCTGAAAGCTCTTGTTGCCGACCATTGTGGTGGCATCATCATCATCACTGTTCTGGAGTCTGAGTGGACTCTGCGCTGGACAGCCAATGGAAAGTGTCCATGTCACCCAGGTGGTGACGTGGGCACCCAGAGAAGGACCCTTAGAAGACAGAAGGCTTGGGATCCAGCATGTCATGTGACCACCAATCCAGGTAAGTAAAAGGGGGTTTCCCCAGAAATTGACTTGGAGGGGTAACTCAGGCTTTCCTAATGGGCCATTAACGCATGTACGTGATGGCAGCCCAATGAAATGAATGCGGTGCCGATGCACCCCAACGTGGCAAAGATCAAATGTGACTCTGTTTTTGTAGCACAACGCCCTACCATGTAGGGTTGCCACCTTTTCTTCCGTCGAAACCCGAACACTCTAGCGACGCGCGGAATTTTTGGGTGGAGACTGAGTTGAGGTTTTTTCATATGTAAATATCACAGTCAAGACCATTTTCAGTGGGAGGGTCAGTAGTAGCCCCTATTTTAATTTTGGTTGCCCCTGTCTGCCTGACCTCCTGTGTCCGGGTTTCAGCTGCAATGAAACCCGGACACAGCATTCAAAACCCGGACTGTCCGGGTGAATCCCGGACAGGTGGCAACCCTACTACCATGCATTACCACGGGGCGTTGGTGTAAATGGGCCCATCAATTGTAATAACAACTCCGGTCTTTCCCTACCGTACAGTACAGAGCTGATGTATATTTGGGGTCCTCCAGTCCATCGCGTCTGCAGAAATCACATGAAGACGTGAAGCGGACGCTAATGGCACTGCTCAGGACAACCCTGGTAGCAGCTGTTCCGGCACTCCTCCGCTCAGTGCCCAATGACCGAATTCACACACAAATGGCTATTTCATCTGGAAACTGCCAGCCAGACTTACATAACTAAGGTCTATTTTCATCAACATTTGCTGTGTGTGATATATGCATCGGGGGAGGGGAGGGGACTGGCCATAGAGCGGAGTATGATATATGGATCGGGGGGGGGGAGGGGACTGGCCATAGAGGGGAGTATGATATATGGATCGGGGGAGGGGACTGTCCATAGAGGGGAGTATGATATATGGATCGGGGGGGGGGGGAGGGGACTGGCCCGGATCTACAGAAAGTTCTGAGCCAAGGGGGGAGCTGGTATGGGGCTTTCAAGAAAATTGTACCTTTGTTACATGTTGTCCTCTAATGAATGGCAATATGGCATCCACT